GAGGCAGGGGAAGCTGGGGCTGGAGGAGAGAGAGGAGCTAGGTAAGGCCAGTTGCACTAAGTTGATATATTAGATACTTTCATTGAGGCAGAGGGGGGAAGCAGAGAATAGCCAGCATGACTTGCTATGGTCAAGGAAAAGGCTTGGCACAGGAAATTGGGGTACAAAGAGCTGACAACAGTCCCAATATAGAGTATGAATGTATACAGAATGAGTGAGCAAGGAAGATCCAGGATCCTACCTAGTAGAAGTCAACACTGCAAAAGGGTGAATGCAACATATGTTAGGTATAGCTGAGCTAGCTTGTGCAGTGGCAACTGTGAAAATGCAGCAGCAGAGATTTCAGTGGGAGCTGTACTAACTTGAAGGGGTCCTGAAAATTTCCTTGGACAGGTAATCTGCACTGTAACACATGCCCTGACTCCAGCTGGTGTCTGAGCAAGTGAGATTAAAACTAGTTTACATATCAGTTTATGAGGTACAGTGATATCTCTGAGTGAAAAACAGAGATACCCTGAGGATTATCATGTAATAAATTTCCTGTTTTGACTTGTGCTGCTTCATAATATGGTCCAAAAATAGGGAATCCACTTACCTGCCCTTACATAATTTTTGCACATATCTGAACCAGAAATTTGTGAATAGTAATGTAGAATTTTAACTTTCACAGGGATAGAATCCCACATAACGCTGATACTCTTCTGCTATATGTCACCTTTGTGATATGGAGGAAAGGATGCATACTTATATAATTCAGAACAGGGCCCTTCAACTATCACTGAACATAAATGCTATACAAAAATAGTGTTTGCAGGATGAATAATGTGCACTTGTTTATGTTTTCTGTCTTATAACAGATGCCTGGGATAAGTCATAAGTTCCTCTAAATATTTATATTAATTAACATGGGACTTTACGTGACAAAACAAAGATCCTGTACCTCTGAATGACCAAATAAGAATACCGGTATTTTGTCTAATACGGTGTTCAGCATCTTTTCAGTCAATGGCTTCAAAAATGACCTTAATGCTTTTTCTCTTTTTCCGCTCTTTTTGCATAAGAGAGTAAAGATTACCAAAGAAGGCCTTGCTTTTATTATCTGAAAAGAAAACCACTCATCTGACTTATTTTTTCTAAGTTAATTTGTAATGTACTGGATTCACATATTGCAATTTTAAACAAGGGAAAATATTTTACTTTGGTCCTTCAGTGGTCAGTACTTTGGGTGAAATGTTTTCTTAAAGACATACTTATGTTTAATAATGTGAACAGCCAGCACTGAACACACTCATCGGTGTCTAGTGCTGGGAATGCTAATGTTTATTTGTAATACTTGTCTCCAGGTAGCAGATATTGTTTAGTATTTACAAACATCAGAATTTGAAACTGAGTGATTTCTTGTCTGCAGTGATCATAGAAGCCTAGGTTTTATAATATAATTACATGTTGACTTGATACCACAAGTGCCCTTGCTTTTAGATACATATTTTTCTGAAGTTCTTTGTTAGTTCAGGTCAGAATGCAGCATGGTTTATGAGGTGTGAGTAATTGTACTTTGCATGGATTACCTGTGCCAACATGGATAAAACAGTCTAGTAATAAAATGAATGTACAAATACATTTAAAGCTTTACAGTTTGGACATATTTGTTAATATGGCACATGAACAGCTGACAGCATACACAAGCTTGTATTCTCTACTTCAAACCTGAAAATAAAATTAGAAGCATTGGTTTCAACCTTACTGTGTATCAGTCTTATTAGCTAAATTGTGCTATTTTAAACAAACATTCATATGCTTAAAAGATGTAGTGTACTAACAGTACATGTTGTAACTTAACAAGACTTGTATACTCAGAGACCTTATCGTGTCAACAAATGCTGTTTATAGCAAGTTTACAAGGAATGGGTAAATTCTGTCTTCAGTTACACAGATGAATCTGAGAACGAAGTTAGATTGCGTGATTTCTGGTGGATGTTTTTCCATTTCTTAGCAGAAATGACTTTAAATAGTATACAAAGTGTTTTAAATGTTCTCATTGAACTCTAGTGCCAAGTAAGTCCTTCCAAATGAAAGGGTATCTCATACACAGCGTGACTTATTAAAACAGCCATTTTGTGCATTCCTAATCCACACCCCTCAGGCATGTAGTATTTTTAAAGATACAACTAATTACATGAGACATAATTAAGAATTTAGATAATAAATGGACAAACTTGGCTTTAGATGGCATTACAAAGTACAGTACCAGGAATTGCAAATTTGTGAACTTTGGTTTTATTTTACAGCCCTAATTTGTTTACAGTGTGCATAAGGAAAAACAATTCAGAAGAATGAACAGAATGTACACAGATTGCTGTTAATTTTGAATTGCTCTTTTTCCAGATTGCCTGTGCTGACCTTTAAACTTTGCACTAGACAGTTGTACCATGATCCCTGGAGAGCTGAGCGGTACTGAGGGGAAGCACTAGAGGTATAACACTCTGCCAGTTAATAGGGTGCAAAAAGTGAACAGAGCAAAGTTCATTAGGGAACACATGGTGCAAAACAGCTTGACAAGTGTTGTGTTAAGAGGTTCTTAATAGAAGAGAGATTATTATTTGCTCAGAAGAAAATGGCGATTTCAAGACTATTGACCTAGGCATTGCTTTTTTCCCTAATTGTGAATCTTAAATTCTGCCAGTTTCTGTTGATTAAAAAAGAAAGGAATGTGTGAATAAGATTGCTGAAGCCATTATTGAATACACAAAGAAATGCTTTGTTCTCTCAGCCAAATTGCGGAGTTACGGATGAGATTCAGATCATATTCAAGCACAGATTTTGTGCTGCATGCATATAAAAAGTCGTTAAAAATACAGTTTCTTCTTAGGAAGATTTTATCAAAATAGTAACAAATGTGTGTTGTATTAACAAGCACTGTCAGGCTAATTTACAAGACTTTTTTGTGTAAAAAGAATAACCTTTTTTTTTTTTTTCATCAAAAATAACCTTTTGAACAAAACTTGTTTCTTCCTTTAAAAGTTTACACATTTTAGCTGTGAGCAAATAATAAATATGCATAAAATGGAATGTATAAAATATTTTATAGCAGAAGATTAATTATTACTTCAGAATTAAGATTACTTTCCTTAATGACAAAGATGTTAAGGAAATTTTGCTTCTGCTTAGTTTTACCATGTGCAGCATTAATGAAACAGACCTCAGGTCTTGGTGAGTTTGTGATTTTTTTACAGTTGAATAAAGTCCTTTCAATATCTGTGTAATGAATACATGTCGCTACCAGAAAGCTAAGGACCTTGCTGTTCTTCTGGAATGTTTTATTCTTACAGTGAGTTATAGCAGACGCTCTGGATTTTTAGGAAGCTTAATATTTATATTCATAATCTCAGAGGCTCTCATTTGAGAAGAAATAATTACTTACAGGATTTATTAATTTTAAGATATAATAATACATAGACTGCAATGATGACGTTGGGACCAAGGTTTAGCTTGGTTTAAAGAAACGTTAATCATGATGAATGCATGTATGGAACACATGCATGGATTTGAACAGGAAACTACTCAGAATTGAGCTCTGATTCCCTTGAACTGGATGCATTTTATATCCGTGGTACTTCAGTCTAAATTCTTGGAGTCATAGTCCATTTACAGTAGAATCACAGAATCATAGAATCGCTCAGGTTGGAAAAGATCTTTAAGATCACCAAGTCCAATCACAACCTAACCACTCTACTCTAACTCTAACAACTCCCCACTAAATGATGGCCCTGAGCACCACATCCACCTCCCTGCTAAGCCTATTCCAGTGCTTAACAACCCGTTCTGTAAAGAAGTTTTTCCTGATATCCAACCTAAACCTCCCCTGGCACAATTTGAGGCCATTAAGGTAGCGTTAATAAGCATTGAACTGAGTGTACTCAGAGACTTCGTTTCTGTTATCAGGTATTTGTGATTTACAAGAGAGCTTCTCCATATTTGTCATAATATGGGAGATGTGGGAACACAAAAAAGGGTGTATTTTCAAACATTCAGCTTCATACAAAAAAACCCCCAACACTTCAGACAACAAAAACTTTGTTTCTGCATTATAAACAAAGACCAAGCATATTATTTCCCAATCACTGTTCTGTGCTACCAAATGCCACTGGTAGGCCTGCATCTTCCATAACCTATTTTCTTTGTGGATATTTCTCCCTGTGCTGATTCGGAAGGCGTCATAAATTTGCCTATGCTTTCTGCATGTGGGGAAGCTGAACTGAGTTGCTGTTACACATGCTTATAAGCTGTGTAATATTGTGGGGTAGTAAGCAAAATGTGCTTTGAAGCTAGTGTGGGTGTACTCAGCCTATTGCATCCTGGAAATAACAGATTTGCTGAGATTTCTTGTGAATGCACAATATATACAGTACTTGTTGAAAGTTTCTGTTCTACTGGATATATATTAAGCAAGGTCTTTGCTGCACTACACGAACTTCTGGGCTAAAAGTCCTTGCAAGAAGTGTGGTAACCGTTGTCAGAGAGGTTCAGGTATAAGCTATCACATCAAACGTTGCATACATGAATCTAAACTCTTCTGGAATACTGACAGAGCACAGTTAGCCTTTGAGACTGTATTCCCAGCGCCAGCTGCTGCAGCAAGAAAAGCAGAACAGAGCTGTAATTTATACGGATTATGATTTTCTGCCATCTGTACTATGTACACCAGTTTTTGGAATGGCAGCTTTTGTGACTTCCTTTTCTTAGTCACTCCACTGTGACCCCACTAGCCTGAATTCAAATTTGCAGAACTTATTAGTGCTCATGTTGAAGGACTCTGCTTGTCACTTACTCCCCATGTCACTTACTCAGCTTTTTGTTACACATCTTATGGATTTGAAAGAGTTTCTGTTGTAATTACACTTGTGCACACAACACAGAGATTAAGGTTAGGAGGAACATCCAGAAAGATTAAATTCTTCACAGCGAATACAAAGCACATTTCCCACCTTTTCTAGACTTACCTGGCTGTTCGCTGATGGAGACTTGAGATGGACGGATTTCCTGAACAGTCTCAGAAGCTGTTTGTTCAGAAGCTCCTTCAAAAGAAAGGGTCATTGTTATTCAAAAGTGGATATCAAAGTCTGGGGGCAGTATGCACACTCACAGTCCAGATTTGCACTATTTAGTCCAACTTCAAACAGATTTTTGCTCCTACGCACTTTTTGACATAAAAATGCAAAAAAAAAAAACCAAAAAAAAAAAAACATAATAAAATGCTGGGATGTTACTAATCCTCCCAAACTCTGGCTAAGACTCCTCATCCCCCTCCAGCTTAGGGAACTGTACTGGTGCAAAAAGATAAAAATTACATTGCTGTGTGCCAGCGTCAGAGAAGCCACAAATACCTGAGGTAAGAAGCTTTTGCTCAGAAGCCTATAAGTGAAGTCTTCTGCTTTCCTCTGATCTAATGTCATTTGAAAAAAAAAAAAAAAAAAAAAAAAAAAAGAACAATCCTTAAGCCAAATATTTATTTTAGACTTTGCATTATTAAGTTCAACTACTTAGAAGTGAGCAACTGTTATCAAAGACGGCATGTGAAAACAGTAAAATGAGATATAAATGCAGGAGTGTGAAAATGCGGAGAGAAAGTTCCATTAGCATTAGATTAACCACAAAATTTACCCTTCCTTTATTCATCACAGGAAAAGTCATTGTAACTTTATTAATGGTGAAAGGTTCAGTCATAGTTCTTCCTAAGGAAATAGGAGCAGTGTATCAGGATATCCTTCTTCCGCCCCGGAGTACCAATACTTTCAATTTTATATACAACGGAAGTAATTAATTGTAACACAAAGAAGCACAGCTGTGTTTCCTGATGGTCACACATGCAATAGCTGCTATTGTTCAGCATTTTGAATATGTGCACTGAGAACCGTTCAACTGCTTTGAATACTTTATACTTTGGGTAGCAGCTTTTGAATTTATAATGGCATTTTAATATGCTACTATCTTAGAGCTGATCCTGCATCCCTAATCAGGTAATTTTTGCTGATGTCAGTGGGAGTTGAAACTGAATTAGGCATAGCTGCCAAATCCAGAGATTTGCAGGCGAAGGCCATTTCTCTTTGGAAGCAGGGGAATTTATAGATTATTATAGATTAGATTATATAATATCAGGATTTGCTTCAGCTGCATGTGTTTTTTGAGTTTATTCAAGTTCCAGTACATATGCAAGTAACTTTAAGACACAGGGAGAAAAGATTTCTTACTATGCCCTTCATTACACATTTTCAAACATGTGGGTTAACTGCTGTGACTGAAATAGGAGCATATCCTTTTTCTTTTAGATTCAGTAGACCTATGTTATATTGTTTGCACTAGAGAATGAAAAAAGAGGTGAATGTTTTGCTGCATTTCTTATCTAACAGCAATGCATTCATGGTTAAAGATATTATTACACTGAGGAACAAAAATAGGATTTGATTAATTAAAATTATTCGGTTCATTTGTTTTGTATGAGATTCAGATCTATTTTGTTCTAACAACCTTGGAAGAACACTGCATCTTCCGTCTTGTAAATGTCCCTCTTTATAAATCTTGACAGTGCCCACCAGAGCTGCCAGCAACAAAGCTCCCTGAATCCACTCCTCTTGAGAATAAGGCTATTACACATATCGACAGATTTTTTCTTCCTCTGTATTATGAAGAGTTCTCTTTGTTTAACAGCAGACTGGAAAACATTTCCTATTTCAGCATTCAGTTTCTGTTGCTGAAAAGGACAGTCAGTTGTCAAGAAGAGAATTATTTGTTAAAAAGGTTGGAAGCGATGAAGCCTCCACATCAAGAGGAAGAAAAGTTAAGACAGTGTGGTTTGGGATCTAAGAATTACTCAAGCTTGTAAAAGGAATTAATAAATCTCACTTGTAATAAAAAGTGGAGGAACAGAAATATATGTTAGTGTATTACAAATCTTCTAAGAGTGAAGCGGATAATTAAAACTTCCTTATAGATCATTGGGCAGAGCAGAATTAATTCATAGTTAATTCAAACTATCAATTTTAAAACAGCAGTAGAGTCTAACCCTAAATACTTAATCTTGTTAGAGCAAATGAAGACTTCATAGATTTTATTTGCATGCATCTAGGGAAATCATATTACTAAGTCTCCAGCAAACTGATGTGAACAAAGTGCCCAGGTGAAGCTCCTGCTGAGCCTACAAGTACTCTTTTTCTGTAAGACTTTTTATGTTCTTGCTACCCTACATTGGCTTTAATATACATACATATATATTTGAAATATTTCCTGTATTTATAAGGAAAATTCTCTCAGAGTTTATGATCTGGTGAAAACAGTGCTTTTTGTACATAGGAGTCTATTAGAAATAAGACTGTAAAAAGCTCAGCAAGGCATAGAAAGAAAAAACAAACAACAAAGAAAGAGCAAGCAGAAAACGCAATAGGAAATTTGATTCTTGACGGGCAAAATGTTTCCTAAAGCTCTTGTGAAGTCAGGCATAGTTCCCCCATTCCTACAGCCCTTGGCAAGACAGAGTTGTGGTCCCTACTGCATGTCTTATTTAGGAATCTGTTCAGCTCCTGCAGCAGCTGCCTGAGTCATATCACAGGTATAGATAGCTTTTGTATCCTCCTTCCTCTCTGTTCACTAGCACGAGGCTAAAGAAGCTGGACTGCAGAAATAATACCAGAATACAACAAGTGCTGCAGCTGCAGAAATGGTTTCCTGTTTCCTTCTGCCTGTGTTCTGCACATTGAGCTGCTGTTCTCTGGAGTCTCTCCATGGTGCTCTGCAGTCCTGCACTGCACTCAGTTCCACATCATGCTTTTTGGACTGAAGGTTGGCTGAGGCTTGCAACACTGAAAAAATGAAAAATACCTTTGCCTTTTTACTACCAGTGCTTCATTTGTAGATCTTTAAAAAAGAAAAAAAAAGGAAAAAAAAGGAAAAAAATACCTTCCCTCACAGATTTGATTCTACCCTAATTGAATTAACTAAGATTATGTTTAAAACAGTTAATAAGATCGGTATCATTTCTAACTAACAGACAGTTCCAATGAATTTATAATCAAAAGAATGTGTTTTCAAGTACAGTAATTCTGAAGAAAAAAGACAAGAATTCATGTAAATAAAATGAAAGGAATGCATCCCCAACTAAAGGGTAACGTTTGTTTAACGCGTAGTGTGAAATATTCACTTTGGTAACAGTAACAGTGAAGAGCTCATCGGCTTTTAAAAACATATTTGGATCACAGATTTTATACGTATGGATTTCAGAGACTGAAGGGAAGAGGAATCACACAAAGATTAAGTCCTATCAGATGGATGACCTTCTACCTATGCATACCTCTCCTAAACATAAGTTTAAGATTCACAGTTCCCCAGTGATTCCAAGAACTGGAAAGAAATTCCTGGACTGGAAATGACAAAAGAAAGCAGCTGCAAGACTACCCGATTCATGATTTAATATTTTTTTTAATACAGCTCTCTTCATCACGACAGTCTTGAACTGCTCTTTCTGTATTTTATGTTAGGCTTCTACACCCCATCCTGGTCAAGTGGAGAATTAACGTATGTTTATTTTCAAATTCAGACTACAGTGTCTCTGAGTGTTGCTGTACTACCAGGATAAATACCTCATGTTACTAAAACCTGACATGTCCAAGCTTTTGCAGATTGCTAAATCCTGACCAGGTGAGATGTCTGTTACTGATAACTAGCTCACGGGAACACTGCCTCTTTCTGAGTGCCTATCACCTGAAGTGTTCATCTTTGATTTAAACAGGTATCTCTGCCTTTCCTGCAAGGTAAACAAGGCAAGTCAAAACAAAACGGGTTCGATTCTTTCTGAGGTTAAGCTTCCACAGTTACTTTCATTAAGGGAAATACAACTGGGTTCTTAAGGCAGCACATCAAGAAAATGCTTCCATCATACTGCATTATCTCACACGTTAGCATTGGTCAACAAACTGCTTCTCACAGGCAGACTGCTGTATGAATGTAAACAAGGAGTTTTAGTCTAATCATATAGTTTTCATACTTTCGTTGTTAACCCGTGTCTCAAAAAAAGTTTATACCTCATGAAATTGAAACCATACGGTGCATACTGTATGTTTAGAAAAATAAACATAAATACAGTATTTCCATGTGATGTTTCATCAGACAACCAGAACAATACTGTGATGCAAATACCTTTCGAGGTTGTTATGATTCATCATTTTAGATCAAGATTAAGCTGTCTTTTGCAGGTCTGATATTACTAAATTTTTTTAAAATTTATTTTATTTTTATTTTATTATTTAAACTGAAATTACTAAAGTTTATTTTTACTGAATTTATTTTGTGATTAAGACTAGTATTTACACAGCCTGATGCTCCTTATTTATGCCATGAATAGGTACATTGGCAGGGTAGAGCAAACCAAATCCTCAGCAACATAATTTCTGATGTGACAGGACTATTGCCTGAGATATATTCAGTGCCCAACTCCTTAAAAAAATACCAGCTAAGAGAGCAGTTTCCATGATTACTTACAAGAAATTCAATGAAAACAGTTTATCTATTTCATAAGTGAGCTCAAAAACAAATCAAGGCTAATAGCTTTTGCTGAATTCAGGCACGATGGGTTTAAATCACTATCCAACATCTGAAAAATGCAGGACTGTATTACCACACAGATCATTACCAAGAGAGATGCTAGCTCTAACAGCTTTGGTTCTGCTTGGGAGCACACACATGCATGTTGCATTCTTCTTCCATATTGAGTGTCTATTCTGCTGCTACAATCTGATAGTAGACAGAGTGGAGGAACAGCAGACTCATATTTTCCTTTGAAATTATAAACATAAGCATACAAGTTCTGTATTGCTTGGCATGAGCACTGTGATTTTGTCTTTCTTGGCTGTCTTTGTCTTGGACACTGACATTTTTTTTCTGGCTCATCGGAAAAAAATTTTCTACAAGTCTAGTAATGCAAGTCCTACATTTCTTAATGCCTTTCTCTGTAGTATCTGGCCACCTACACTTAGTAGGTGTGCCTTTAATTGCCTGCGTTTTAAAGGAGTCCGCAAAGCAGATAGGTTTGAATGTACTTCCTCTTTTGTTTCACTATATGGGATAGAATGCAAGCTAAGCAGTTGCCTAACAATGCACGTGTACAACACATGTGAACTACATTACTTAGCCACTGTGCTCATCTTACACACAAATGGGACAACATAAACTCTATATGACACTAGCAGACAAAAATGGAGCTGGACTGTGGAGAGGTCAGCACAACGAGCAAAGCAGGGTTTCTCACATCATACATGCATGTGGTTAAGTGAGATTGCTTCCCAATTGGTTACTCTCTAAAAACAGCTTATCTGGGCATGCAGATGGCCTAAGGGGTGTCTTGGTCAATAGCAAAGGGAAAGCGAGCAGGTTTGTGTGGTCATGATTGGCCCTGTGTACAAAGTTCCTGGTGCAGAGCTGTGTAATGGGACCACATCAACATTAGAGTTGCTGCCACTCTGCTGAGTGAAAGGTCTGGCTGCTCATCCCATGGCACAGTGCTACTAAAGCTCCTTCTGCACTGCTGTTGGGAGACAGACAGACAAATTGTTACTTTGGTAATGTGTCCTAATGACGAGGAGCTTGGAAATGCAATGCAAATCATGGCCTTTAGCAATCTTATCAGTGAGCAGAGAAGCTCGTTGCAGAAGTTATGATGTATTCCAATCTAACTAGCCAGCTTTGTTTATTTAAAAAGGAAATGGAAAAAAGCAAACGAACAATTCCGTTCGTTGCAACTCTCATCACTCATAAGGCACTGGGATGTCAAGCATTTCAGAACTATTCTTCCACAGAGCTCAAGGACCGGTGTGAGGCCCTCACTTTTCCACAGGCAGCTTCCACCGTCACCCCTCACCTCACCTCCACAGCGCTCCCGGCCGCGCTGCCCCTTGCAGCTCCGCCGCGCCCTCGCGCCTCTCTGGCGCCTCCTACAGGAGCTGCGGCGCCTATTTCACTGGGAAAGCTCTTCTCGACGGTCCTTTCGCGGAGCCTCAGGTGGCGGCTTGCTGCGGCCCATACTACCGCCCGTGACGGGAGCAGCGGGGGAGGAGAAGCGGCCAACTTTTTCCCGCGGCACACCGCCAGCGCGTCGACGGAATGGCGGTGGAAGCGGGAGGGCTCTGAGGGGCGGCCTCGCGCCTCTCAACGGCGGCAGTCGGCATCGGCGCCGCCTCCGCAGAGCGCGCGTCCCCGCTCTCCCCCTCCCTTCGCTGTGCGCGCGGTCGGGCTCGGCGGGCGCCGCGATTGGAATCCGGCTCCGGCCCGCCCCGCCCGCTCCGCAGGGACGCGCCGGGCGTCGGGAGCGCCTGCCGGGGAGCGAGCCTGCGCCGAGCCGCCCCGCCCCGCCCTCCTCCTCCCGGCGCTCGGCCGCCTTCGCTCCCGTCTCCCAGGAGCCGTCGGGGTCCCGGGCGCGGCCCGCGTAACGCGGCGGGAGCGGCTCCCTCCTGCTTCGTCTTCTCTCCCGCCGCAGAGGATGAGGAGCCCCCGCGAGCGGTGAGTGCGGGGTCGGGCCGGCCGGGCGGCGAGGAGCGCCGCGCTCCCGCGTTCTACCTTCTCTCAGCCCGCGGGGCTCCGAGCGCCGGGCCCTCGTCCCGCTCTCCCCGTCGGACGCCGGCTCGGGCCGCCTGCCCGAGGCTCTCCGACCCGGCCGCTCGCCCCGCGGCTCGGGCCGACGCTCGGAGACCCGTCTGCGGGCGAAGCACGGGGGCTCTCGGGGCCGCCGGCTTCCTGCGTGGGCACGGGGCCGCCTGCGGGGCCGGGCAGGCCCGGCGCACGCCGCTCTGTCTGGCCGCCTTCTCCCTCCCCCTGCGTCTGCGCCCGCGGTGTTGTAATTCCAGGCGCGGTGCCGAGCCGGCGGCGGAGCGGGGCCTGCGAGCGGCTCCGGGAGGCCGCGGGGGGCGGCACGGCACCGCACGGCACCGCACGCCTGCGGAGCGGGGACTCGCCGCTGCTGGGCGGGAGCGTCCGCTGTCCGGTTCCGGTTACACGCGGCGTTCTCGTACCTGGTGACAAGATGTCCCGAAGAGGTTGAAAAACTTGACTGGCTTTTCGTCGGCCTTTAATCTTCTGTACGACTAAGACTGAATTCGGTATCGAGGTGCGGCGGGAGGCTGTAGCACGTCCGTGAAGCGGTTGTCTGGCCTGTTGTGGTGAAGGCTGTGCGATGGGGAGTCTTCCAGGTGCGGGCTGGTTGTGTTTGGGACCCGTGTTGTGTGTTCCGTGAGGACGGGTAACAATTTGGTGGGTTCCATTTGCAGTCAGCTCCTCGGTGCCTGCCCTCTGTGGGAGTGGAGCAGCTCCTTCTGTGATGGCCTGGGCTGGAACTGTTCCCTGATTCGCAGTAGTACCTCGTCCTGGAATGAGGAGCTGCACGAGCTGATATTGATATTCAAATTCGTTATTTCAGCCCATAGTTAGTAAGACACTCGCGTTGTGGTGTTCTGTAGCAGCCTGAAAAAAATACTACTTTTGATTATGTGTGTCCTGTGTGTCTTTACTTTTGTTACTTTCTTATAGGTCTTTCAACACATGTGCTTTGTTGTGTTAGGGTCTGTGTGGTTTATATTTGTGTATGGACACATGCGTGCCCTGCAGGCTCTGAGTGCGGAGATCTGTCAGAGATCTTAATGCATAGCTGTGATCTTCAGCTGCCTGTTCTCTACTTATCCCCTTGGTCACTCTGTTTGCGGACAGTGAATTCATGAGGGCTGATTGGAATTCTTCTCTTCAAAACGAAAAAGATATGGTTTGGAAGACACCTCTGCATGTCACTGGGCCCAGCCCCTACCCAAAGCAGGGAGGTCAGCTATTGGTAAATGGCAAGAAGTAACACAGAACTTGGAATCCACCGGAATCCACCAGTCAAAGGGCGTTCCCTAGTCAAGATTCCTAGCTCCTAGCTCCAGATTCTGGTGTTCTTGATGCTGGCACTGATGATGGTCACAGTGAGAATTGTAAACTTTGTAAGGAGAAACAAAAATACTCAATGCAATTGAATAAGTGGTGTATGTGCTTTTTCTGGGTGCCAAAATTTGGGAACCAGGGTTCTAAAGCATAATTAATGTAAGTAGTCGTTAACCTATACATAGCAGTTGGCTCACTTTTTGAGCTACTCCAAGTTAGGGTTAACAAGGTTTGGGTCTCATCTAGGTTTGAATGGGGTGCTTTTCAGATGTGCAGTAAGCAGTCTGCTAGCTTCCTTTAGAAAAGACATGTGTTTCCCATAGATGAGTGTTACTGTGATATGAGTTGTCACAAAGCACTGGACTGCAAGGAGAAAAGTGTTTTGAAGAAACAATAAATAGCTTTGTCTACTTCCTGGAGTCCTGAAAAGCAAGCGGTAGGTGGGTGGCTTAGGTTTTTATTTATTTTTTCCCTTGGTTTAAAGGTAGGAATTTGTTCTCTGTGAAGCAATTGGGACATAATATGACTATGCAGTGGTAATTAAAAAGAAAACGAAAAAGCTAGAGAAGGACTTGCTAAATATTCACTAAGTTTTATAGTGAGAAACCAGAATAGGCTACATTCACAGCTTAAAAGAAAAGAAATTGTTTTGAAAATAGCGGCGTTAAACAACACTGAATTAATGGAATCTTTCTTACGTTGCTCATCAGTCAGTGTAACTAAGAACTCCTACAACTTCACAGAGAAGAACGAGGCCCACATATGTAACAGATGTGTCATGAATGTTTCAATAAGTCCCCTTTATTAAAGTGATCAAAGAAGAGATAGTGGTGCTTGCAGTAATTTTGATTTGGCCAAGCTTTCAAAAGCATCAAACTCACCTTCGCCCAAGTCCTTAAAAGCAAGAAACCAATAGAAAAAAGCCAATCACTCTGTTTCTCTTTTGTTTGTCATTGTGGATGGCAACTTCTGTCATGAGGACAGTATCTTCTTCCAGTAAATGTCTGACACATAGAGCTTCTGTAGCTTTGGTAAGTGGCTGGAAGGCATGGATGGGCAAACAGACAAGATGGCATATGTAAGGGCACGTACTGCAGATGTATTTCTCCCTTGCTTTTGTCAAGCATCAGACCTTTCTCTGTGAGGTTTTTGGTTCCTCGTTTGAAAGGGGAGGAGGGAACAGAGCATGTCTTCAATGCATGGGTTTTGCTTCACATACCTGAATATTTTCCGTAAATAAATCATGTAAGTATTGCAGTAATGTTAAGACATGTGACTTCAGAGCTCTTGTATGTAGGCACTGATGGAGTGCTTAGAGCCTTATTTCACACGTTAATTTTCCCCAAATGTATGTGGGGGTGGGGGGCAGTGTATGTGCTTCATTTTGACAGCAGGCTTGCTTGTAGCAGCTGATGATTTAGTGCCTTTTCTTCCTTGAACAAGAGCTGCAAAAATCTTCTGCAGTTGCTCCACCGAACCCTTGCTGATTATTCCTAGTCATGGTGATGTCATGGAGTTTCTGTGCTTTCTAAAACATTTAGTACTTTAAAGGGAAAGCAAGGAATTTCTGTCTCTGATTCTCGTAGTCGCTTAAAAATCACAGTGAAGTATGTAGATCAGTTGATTTTTCTCAGGAATAGCCATTTTATTTACCTCCCCAAAGAAGTTTAAAACAACAACAACAAAACCATGCAAAATTTAACCCACTGTATTGAATTCTTTAAAAATAATCTGTGAACTGTAATGCATGCTCCTTGAAATAGGACAGAAAGTTGAAGTAGTCAGCTAATTTATCTTTCTTGTGAAGAAGACATAGCTTTTGCTTTCTTAATATTCTTGTTACTTAGAATAGCTATTTTGTGAGGGATTCAGTCCAGAAACATACACTCCGTACTTCGTGCTCTAGGCGTGTGTTTTGTGCCTCCCTTGACAAAACAAAGCAATTTTTCTCCTAGTCTTTAATATCAAGAATTTCATTCTCCTCTAGGGAGGGTGAATGTTAGATTCCTTTTGTTCTCCTCTGAGGCTGTGTCCTGACTGAGAGAGTAGGCTGCAGCCTCTGGCTGGTCTGACCACTGTATGAGATGGGGCACTCACAACACCATATGGGAATCACAGAAATGAGAGGATGTTGTAGTTTCCTGTAGTCAGCTTACAACTGAAACATTTTACATCAGTGTTTTTGACAATATAATGGGGCTTGAGATCTTCATTTGTGTTACAGCAGAGATGAGATGTGTGAGTTTCTGGTTATGAAGCTGTTGACGCTGCTTTGAGGTCTATACTGTAGTAGATCTAGTCTTTGCCGTTTTCCTAGTGGATGCCTTATAGTCATCCTTCTCTTTCTTTTGAGTTCTGTGCATTTCACTCAGCTGTACTATTTCAGGAAGAATTGGTAAGTAAAAAAATCAAAATAGTTACTAAAGCAGACAACTGAATTCTAGTTCATGACTGTGTAAAAATGCACGGGTTGTATATGCAGAAAGAGAAGCAGTGGTGAAGACTTAAAGTCCGGTGTGTTATTTCTATAGAATTTATTGAGGACACATATTGTTTTAGTGGAATTGATTGACTTGATGGAGTGCTTCCTTTAAGCTCATTGGTGGCATAGTTTGCCTGTACTGCATTCAGAGGTGTTTGTGTTCCTTCGGATTGAGGTGTGTAACTCATTGGAAGTACTTCAAAAGTTTTCAACATGATAAAATCTGTGAAGTAACAGTTAAGAGAGTATGATCCCCGTGGCCCTTCAAAACAGAGAGAAATACAGTAGTTTAAAATGTGATTATTTTTTTTTAGTACATGATAGAATGGGCTGTGCAATAGAAGAAGAAATTGCCACTTCAGCTCAGCGGTGCTGTAGTTTAATTTCTGTCGCATGTTATAAGAGCAACTATGTGTTTTACAAAAAAATTGATACTAGTTCAGTTTTCTCTGTGTTTCTTCATACGACTGCTTTGCGAGATGGCTTCAGTCAACTTCCTCAGCTTAAGATGTGGAAGCACCTAGCAATTTTTTGTCTGGATTCCCTCAGTGCATCATTCTGCAGAGGGAAACACGTATCAGCATTGTTGTGTTGTGGCTTATAAAGAATACAAGCAGATGTAGCAGGGGTAAGACAGATATCAAAGAAAGTCTCTGAAGTCATGTACCAGAATTCAGACCTGCTTTGTGGAAGCTCCTTTTCACTTTTGCAGTTGCTGAAATCCTAAGCTTGCTATTCTTGAAGACTCTTGTCTTAACAGTGTTAATTA